ACACACACACACACACACACACACACACACACACACACAGAACTGCCCGCCACTGCAGTACAGCAAGACGTCGGCAGAGAGTCGATTACTTAACTAATTTCTAATTTCTAAGGTAAACAACCCTAAGGGGAGGGGTAAAACACAGGCAGGCCACAGACACACCCCCATATTTAAAATACACTAAACAGTGTCGCGTATCACTACAAATCGCATCGTTTTTACAGTCAGAGCTCAAATATGCATTCATTAAGCAAACTCTTCATTCCAGGGGGGATCCCGGCTGCAGCACCAAAGCTCCTGAGAGCATGAGAGAGACATGGACACAGATACAGACATGCAGACAGACACGCAGACGGAGGGACAGACGCGCAGAGACAGACGCGCAGACGCAGAGACAGACGCGCAGAGACAGACGCGCAGACGCAGGGACAGACGCGCAGAGACAGACGCGCAGACGCAGGGACAGACGCGCAGGGACAGACGCGCAGACGCAGGGACAGACGCGCAGAGACAGACATGCAGACGCAGGGACAGACGCGCAAGGACAGATACGCAGACTCAAGGAACAGACGCGCAGAGACAGACACACAGGCGCAGGGACAGACGCGCAGGGACAGACGCGCAGGGACAGGACGCGCAGAGACAGACACGCAGGGACAGACACGCAGGGACAGACACGCAGGGACAGACGCGCAGACGCGCAGGGACAGACGCGCAGGGACAGACGCGCAGGGACAGACACACAGACGCAGGGACAGACGCACAGGGACAGACGCGCAGGGACAGACACACAGGCGCAGGGACAGACGCGCAGAGACAGACACACAGACGCAGGGACAGACGCGCAGGGACAGACGCGCAGAGACAGACACACAGGCGCAGGGACAGACGCGCAGGGACAGACGCGCAGGGACAGACACACAGGCGCAGGGACAGACGCGCCGAGACAGACACACAGACGCAGGGACAGACGCGCAGGGACAGACGCGCAGGGACAGACACACAGGCGCAGGGACAGACGCGCAGGGACAGACGCGCAGACGCGCAGGGACAGACGCGCAGACGCGCAGGGACAGACGCGCAGACGCGCAGGGACAGACGCGCAGACGCGCAGGGACAGACGCGCAGGGACGGGGCAGGCGTGACTCACTTGGTCCTGCTGGCGTTCCCTCCCGGCACCTCCTTGTTCTGTTTGCTCCTGCAGGCCACGCCGCTCTTCTCCTGAAACACAGCAGTGTGACACCATCTCTGCCACTCCGGGCCTCGTTACCCGCACAGTTAATTAGAGCCTGTGACAAGCTCGCCCAGGGATGTGAGCATATTTGAGGGTGGGGGGTTGACCAAGAATCCCCTCTGCCTGACCGCCTCTCACTGCTTCTCCACCTGCCACCACACATGCACCAGGAAGCAGGTGTGTGTGTGTGTACGTGCATCACTATTAGTGTGTGTCTGCGCACTCCCTCTACATATCGGAGTGTGTGTGCATGCATACATGTGTTTACATTACTATCAGTACGTATGTGTGCGCGTGCACTCCCTCTACATTATTATCAGTAAGTCTGTGCACTCCTACATCACTATCAGTGTGTGTGTGTGTGCACCTTTACATCACTATCAATGAGTGTGTGTGCACTCCCTTTACATGACTACCAGTGTGTGTGTGTGTGTGTGTGTGTGTGTGTGTGTGTGTGTGTGTGTATGCACTCCCTCTACATCACTGTCAGGGTGTGTGTGTGTGTTTCTTGGGGGGGCCGGAAACAGTCGATGTTTGACCCAAAACATAGCAGTAGGTTTGTTATCACACCACGCAGCTGAATTGTTCCAGCAAACCATCAGCCCGAAATGACGACTTCATCTGTCCCCCCCACCCCCTCCACGCAGCAGGGGGGGGAATCAGATATGAACACGCTACTATCAGGGCTGAACAAACAGCAGCGTGGCGAAGCAGCACGGCAGAGCATTCCAGCGTCGTGCCGGCATGTCCTAACGTGCTCTCAGGAGCAGCGCGTGCGTGACGGCAGAAGAACGACACACTGAGGTGGTGCGCGGAGACATAGACCGTTACGCGGCGCCTATCTCACTGCGTAAACGGCCGCGCGGAGGGCAGGGGAGGCCGGAGTCTGCAGGGGTGACTGGGGAACAGGTCCGAGGACCAATGACGCAGTGCTGACTCTTACAGCTGAAGGTCACCAGAACACCAGTAGCCAGGGTAACCCTGGAACACGCATAACGACACGTACAGACCGAGCTGCTCCATCTGTAAAGCAGCGGCTGGGGCCCCCAAGGAGGAGACGGTGTTCAGGAATCCAGTCACCTCCAGCAGGGGGGGGGGGGCAAAGTCTCCATTCTTACACAGCTCCAACACCGGGCCTCAAAGCGGCCATTTTCTCACGGGCTCCACGGAGAACCACACGGCTGGGAGGCCGGACCAGTGCTCAGGGGGAACATGGGGTCGTCTGCAAGGTCTCACCAGGTTCTCTTGGTTGCGACTGTTGACTCTGTCCTCCTCTCTGCCACGCAGGTACTTCACCTCCTCCACTCCCTTCATCCTGTACTCATCTGCAGAAGGTGGGGGGGGTGGGGGGAGAGAGGGTGGGAGTTTAGGATCTGGCAGCCATGATAGGGAAGATCGAGATGGAGGATCAAACGAAGCGAGTGCTGGAGGGGGGGGGGTTTGGGTGGCAGACACGGGGAGACGCTCTAAATGCCGGAACCTGCAGAGCGCCGTCCTCACCGGTGAACAGCCCTCAGAAATAAAACGACGAATCGCAGCTTTCATGGGTGTCTTCCAGCCAATCAGGCGACGGCCTTTCACTGTAACCTTTGACTCATCACAGCCTCCCTTCCCCCTACGCCACAACCTCCCTGCTTGTGCCCCAACCAGGCACGGCTATTTGTTACCATTTAATGGCTGCCGTTTCTATGGTGACCCTCTGTCGCGCCACGATTGGTGGATGCCAGGGGCTCAGACCAGGATGGCCCACTGGCTGATCTGCGGCAGCCGCTCCTTGGGCCCAGTGTCACACACTTAGTGTTTTTCTGCTATTAATACACACCTTTAAAGTGCCGTAACTCATTTACCGCTAGCTGGACAGATACGGCTGCAGCAGGAACTCGGTCCCGCTAAAACCCGAGCCGCTGTGAGTCCCAGAGTTGCTCAGATTGGATCCTGAGCTCCGCCTCGCCTCCTACTTGTGAGGGGGGCACGTCCCATCTCTGCCCACAGCTTGGAGTCCCCCCCCCCACAGACAGGGTGATGGCACAGCTCCCCCCCCTTGCTCAAAGCGTCTGGAGGCTTGGAGACCCGCTTGCTGTCACCACTAAACAGCCCCGTACCAGACGGGCGAATCCGTGGGGGTGGGTATTGGGGATTGTGTGAGCTGTGAGCGTGCTTCCATTTTCACACGCTTTTCGCCTGCCTGATGAGTAACCCGCCTCTCGGTGCTGCAGACACATAAATACGGGAGCAGCTGAGACTTAAATTGCGAGCGGGGAGCATAAACACGGCCTCCAGCCGTCTGGACGGTTGGGGGGGGGACTGTGTGACCCGTGACCGAGTCCTGCAGGGACCCTGCTTTCTGCTAACCGATGCTGGGCCTCTTACCTACAAGGTTATGGGTTTGATGAGTCGTCCATGTTTTCTGTTGTGAGCCAAACTGATATTGGTAGGCAGACTGGTCTCTGAATTGGCCATAGTGTCTGTGTGTGTGTGTGTGTGTGTGTGTGTGTGAGCATGAGTGTGCGTGCGTGTGTGAGCGTGC